CTGGCCACTGGACAGCCACACACGTTGGCTCGCGCCAGCTGCCGGCCACTCACAGCAGCCCACTGCAGCTCCACTGCAGCCTACGCCGTCGCCAGCGACCCACGGCAGCCAAGCTCCAGGTCAAGCTCTTGCTGTTGTTCACCATTTTAGCTAAAGAGGACGCAGCGTCACTGCTCCTTTGTGGGATCCGAACCAGTAGCCCTGCTGCTCGAGCTCACACTCCCAAGCCAACTCTTAACCAATGAGCCACTCAGCCGGCCCTAGGTGTTGTTTTATAGATCTGTTACAACTTTTCTTAAGTAAATATATCATCACAAGTAGAATATTTTATTTCTGCCAGTCCCTTTTTATTTTGATATTTAGTTTGTTTTATTGCACCTGTAAGGACCTTCAATTAACCACTGAAAGGAAATGATGAAAACAAACATCTTTATCCTGTGCCTGGCCCTGGGAGAGGGTCTTCAGTGTCTAACCACAATTATAATGTTAGTCTACGATTTTTGTAGATCCCCTTTCCAAGATTAAAGGAATTTCTTTCTTTTCCCACTTAGCTGAGTAAGGAGTTTCATTATCAACTACAGCTGAAGGTTTCTGAATGCTTTGTATGCATTTATTCCTACGATAATATGACTTTCTTAACCCTGTTAATGCAGTGCATTATACATATAAATTTTGGAATACAGAATAAATCCCATTCCTAGAGTTAACTCTACTTGGTGGTGATATGTTATTCTTCCTAGATTTCCATGTATTGTATTTTATGATATATTTTTAAGAAGTTTTGCATCTGCATTCATGGAGGATATTAGTCTACAGTTACTTTTCCTTGTAATGTCTCTGCCAGGTATTGCTACCAGGGATATGGTGGCCTCATAAATCCCACTGAGATGTGTTGTCTACCCCACTGTTTTCTGAAAGTACATGTGTAATATCGTTACACATAGTGCTATCATATTAATTTTCTCTTAAAGGATTGATAGAATTCACTTGAAGGCATCTGATATGTAATTTGATTTGATGTTTATTTGAAAGGTTTTCTTGATGAACAATTCAATTTCTTTAATAGGTGGTGGTCTATTCAATTTTTCTATACTGTCAATGTAAGGAAGTTGTATTTCTGAGGAAATATCTCCACTTTACCCAATTTATCAATTGGCTGGTGTCCAATTATTTCAGAGTCACTTAGTCTTCACTCTCCCTCTTTCTTCTGTAGTATCTTCACTGGTATTACTTCTTTCATGCTGAGATGGACACTCGTTTCTCTCTTGTACCTCGTCATTCTTC